ATGGACATATTCGGGCCCCCGGGGGCCGAAATGTATCCATATCCACCGCCCGCTGGGGCACCAGGACGTCGGTTCACAGGCGGTGGATATGGATAAATCCCCGCCTCGCAGTTAGCTCCTCCGTGCCTCTGGCTCCCTGCCCCTAGCAATTCGAGGGAGTTTCACCTTCGAACTCACGTCATCCTGGCAGACCCCGGGCGCGGGACTCTGCGGTCCAAGGCCTCGCCGATTCTGCCTCTGGCCGCAGGCTGTGCGCCCGTGATGGTACCCCCTGGGACCTGCGTGGGGTGGAGAGTGTCGGGGTGGGGGTTACAGAACAAACGACAATCGCGAACACCTCGAGAGTGCAGAAGCCAACTGTTTTGGGTCCACGCTGGCAAACGGTTCAGTTCCACTGGCACGGTCTTCCGATCGGTCGCATTGCGTCTGATTCCGCGGGTTCACACTTAGTCGTTGGGGCATATTCGTTGTCAAGTAGATCCCCATCATCATCCGGGCATGCATTTGTAGGGATTGTGGGCCGATTTGGGCCACAGGGAGGGGGGTTGAAGCAGGAACGGAGAGGAGAAAGAGCGGCGGGAGGGAGGCTTGTTGGCCGATCAGGACTGGCGAGAAGGAGGGGAAAAAGGGAGGAGGGAGCAGGGAGGGAGCGGCGGGATGGGGGAGAACAGCGGGAGGGATGCGAGGGCACGGGTATGGCCAGCACCACACCCGTTCGCGCTGACTTGTTCCAGCCGCTGCGTCAACGATGCCAAGCCCGTTGCAGACCAACGCCGCTGCAGCCATTCTTTTTGGTACCCCTTCTCTTACCCCCCTTACCCCCTCTTCCTCCTCTTCCTCCTCCGTTTTTTCTCGCCCTCTTCCACCTGCGCCTATCTTCGCACTCACGGTGCTTCTTCACCACGGCTGCCGTCGATTCTGCACCCGTGGCGCGCACGGAGCTGACGTTGGAAACGTTTGGGTTTTCGTTCATTGCCGTGATCCTTTTCCGAGGCGGGACTTTGTACATGACCACTCCCTGGAGGATCAATTTTCGGGGACTTCGGCAGGCGGTGACTATGGACAGATTCGGGCCCCCGGGAGCCAAAATATGTCCATATCCACCGCCCGCTGGGGCACCAGGACGCCGGTTCCCAGGCGGTGGATATGTCAGTGGCAACGATAGGGGGGGAATAGGTCTAGGGGGGGATGCGTCGACCCTCAAGCGCCCGATGACCGCCGATACGGGGCCGATAGCTCCGACCTGCCCAGGAAGGTGCGGATTCACTACCGGAGGCCTATCGCCGCTCTATCGGCGACGCATCGCCGACTCCAGGTCGACGCATCCCCCCCTCTGCCAGCCCCCCCCTATCGTTGCCCCATCAAGCTGGGTAAGTCCCCGCCTCGCACCCGTGCGGTGCTGGAGCGACGCCGGCAGCGCCCGCGCTGGCATCGCCCGCGCTCTCTCGTCGTTCGCCGGCGCGCCGCGCGGGCGCCCAGGCGCAGAGCCTCGCCAACCTGGCCTGGGCGCTGGCCACGCTGCGCTTCAAGGAGCCCCGCACGCCCGCGCGCGCTCGACGACGACGACGACGACGACGACGACGACGACGACGACGACGACGGCGGCGATGACGACATCGTCATCGTCGTCGTCGATGTCGTCATCGTCATCGACGGAGACGGAGACGGACAGGGACCCCGCACGCCCCTCTGGGGGGGGCCACGGAAGCCGTGGGGGGCGCCTCGGGGAGAGCTCCAGGCGTGCCCCTTCTCGCCGCTTGGTCCTGTCGGCCACTCCCGATGCAGCCCGGCGGAGTCGTCCTGGGGCCGTCCGGGCGGGCCTCGGGGTCCTCTCGGGCCGTCTCGGGGAGGGGGGGGTCCCCGGCTGCCCCTAAAACGACGCGAAGATCGGGACAAAATCGGATCGGGATAGTTCGAAATCTCCGAGAATCGGCGGGTTTGAAGGATGTATTGGGCGCCGCGGCCGCTCCAGAGCGTTCCGGAACGCTCTGAGAGCGCTCCGGAACGCTCTGGAGCGATTTATCCTGATCCTACCCCGTTTTAGCCCCGTGGAATTTCTTGGGCCCATGCTGGCGTTGAGCACGGGGCCAGCGCTCCGCGGAGGCATGGTCGCTGGTTTCATCGACAGTGAGACAGCGGAGAGCACGCTGGTCAGAGGCAGCAGCGCGGTGGCCTCCCAGAATGTCGTCACCTTCCGGACATGGGAAGATGTTCCGCGAGAGGGAGCTGCGCGCGTGGGTGGAGCGCGTGGCCAACGAGGACGATCTGACAGACAAGGCCTCTCGCGGCGACATGACAGTTCGCTACAGTCAGGGATGGCACGCGCATCGCGGACAGTGTTTTTTGGCGGTAGACTACAGACGGGCCCAGGTACAGGGGAGGTGCTGTTGGCCTTCGGGACCCTACGAAACCAAGGACAAAACATCCATCTCTACCATATCATCGGCATCACCATCGACACAAGGGAGACTTGCAAGTTCTCTTGGCGATGCTCACCACACGGCATCAACATTTTTTTGCGTGACCCCAGGATGCCAGCTGTGCGCTCCAAAGCGTGCGGGCACGTACCTTTTTCCGTACCACGCGAAGCAGTGTTTTCTTACACCCACAAGCACCCCCAACATACACGACAAATTCATGCATCAGGCTTTTATTATATTTCTTTTTCTCGAGAGCATCTTTCGCCTTACGGGGGGAGGGCCTCCAGAGGGCCTCCCGCTGCCATGCGTGGCTTATTTTCGAAATTTTCGTCGTGACGCACGCCGTCGCGTCGCCCCGTCCCTCGTGGGCGGATGACAGGTACACTTCGGTCATCAAGGTGCGCCCCAGCTGCGCGACAGCCTAGAAGGCCCTCGTCGAGACCCGCCGGCTGGGTGCAACGTCCTGGCTCGCAGCGGGGGGCTCACTCGGGGCGCGAGGCTCTTGAAGTCGAAGGCCCAGAATGACGAGCGTAGCAGCGCTGCGCGCAAGGTGCGCGAGGGAACAGCTGGGGGAAGGGAGTGACGCTGCGGACCGCGCTGTCGGAGCTGCCGCGGCTCCTGGCGCGCAGGAGTGCGTTCCGAGCAGGAGACCGCCCCCCAAGGAAACTAAACGCACTACGGTCACGAGCGTTTGATCAGCCGGTCAGAGCGTTTATTTAGCGCGTCGCACCGCCGGTTCTGGCCCACCCCGCCACAACGCAACACGGTATGCGCACGCTCCCGTCCCCAAGCGTGAAATTTCCCGAGCTTTTCTCGGCCTCCCGTCCCGCGAAGCCAATCGCCACGCCATCAGCTTGCAAGGCACAGCAGGTCGCAGGGGCTCCCCCTTGCGAGGGCGACATGCACGTTCGCGAGGACGGCTGGCCTCTTCGGCGGCCGACGCACGGGCGGCGCACGGGCGACGAATGCGCGACGCACCCTTTGTCGCGAAGGCGGGGGGGTCAGTACGCCGGTCGTATTCCTGGGCCCTAAAAGGGGGGAGGGGGGCCGCGCGAGCACGGGGGGGCCGCCCCTGGAGAGGCTGTCAGAAGCCTGGGCAGGCAGCCGCGGCGCACAGTGATTACGACAGGGGGGCGCTTGTTGAGGAATGTGCCCGGAGCGCTCCTTGTCCTACGAGGGCGGCGGTGATGATCCACAGTCGAGCGTCAGGTGGGCTTCCACCGGTTTCCAGGCCCTGACTGCCTCGGGCCGACCTTGGGAAAGCCGCAGGAAGCTTGGGCAGACAGCCGCGATGCACGGCAACATGCGCCTCGTGCCAGGGGGCTGGGCGGGTGGTACTGGAGGGTGGCCTACATAGGGGATGAGGAAATCAGCAGGCTCCAAATGGGGCCCTACAGGGCCCCTTTGGCGCCGTTTCTTCACCCCCATCTACAGTGTATGGGGCAAAGATCGCGAAAATGATTCGCAACGTTGGCATTTCGCCATTCAAAATCAGCGGGTTCCAAGCTGGGCACGATCGGCGGCTGCTGCCGAAAATGCAACAAAAAAACGCGAACCACGAGCGCAGTTCTTCGAGTCCCAGACCGTCGTGGCCCGGACGGCACTCCGTCTCTCCGAACGGCGGAAGCCCAACGTCACGATGTGGCTTCGCGCCACTTCCTCGCATCCGCGGAAGGCCCCCCCCTCTCAAGTGCCACCCGCCCGAGGGGGGCGCGGCGGCGGCCCGCTCGTCTTGCTGTTTCTTCTCTGGTTTGTGTTTCCGCCCCCGCTCCTGCCCCCCCCCCCCGTGCGGTCGAGGCGCCGGGGTGGGCCTGCGGGCAACAGTTGTATGTATCCCTACCCGGGCGCGTGCTGGACTTTCCTGGAAGGGGCGCCGCAGGGCCGAAGCGCACCGGATGTGGACACGGAACGAGCCCCCATAGGAGCAGGGTGCTCCTCCGTGTCCAGGGCGGTGTGGGCTTCCGGAGGGCAGGGGGGCCGGAGACTCCGAACGGCACTGGGCGTGGGCAGGCGTGCTGCCCGCACGGGGGGGGGGGGGGCCGCTTCGGGCTCGAGGGGTGGGCGGGCCGCAGCGGCCCCGATGCCCGGGCCGATCCCGGGAGGCAGGATCGGGGCAGCCCCTTCGTGGCCGAGGGCCGCGGCCTGGCCAGAGAACCACCCCCCCCCTCGTTCCCTACCTTCGGGTTGCTGCGCGGCAGCGCGGCGACTGCACCCTTGCTTCCCGCGCGGATGCGCCAGGGCCGCTCCTGCTCGTCCTCGTGCTCCTCGTCCCGCTCCTTCTTGTTCTCGCGCTTCCCTTCCCGCCCCCCCTGCGTGTGTTCGCCTGCTCCTCCGGCTCCTGCTCCTCCTGCCCTCCCGCCGGCCGGCGCGGACTCCACCACAGGACGACGTGCTGATGCATCACATTGCCAATGAGGCACGGCTTTCTCGCAGACCCCACCTCTTGCGCTCTTGCACGCTCCAGCGGAGGAGGAGGAGGAGGAGGAGGAGGAGGAGGAGGAGGAGGAGGAGGAGGAGCAGGAGGAGCAGGAGGAAGAGGAGGAGGAGGAGGAGGAGGAGGAGGAGGAGGAGGAGGACGAGGAGGAGGAGGAGGAGGAGGGGGGACGTAAGGGGGGAGGAGGAGTATGGTGAATCGGGATCTGCGGGGACTCGCTACTGGCGCACGGGGAGAAGCCCCCACGCTGCCTGTGCACCGGGGGCCTGGCCGCAGGCGGGGGTGAACCCCTGGCTCGGCTGAACGAGGGAGCGGCGACGGAACGGCCTCGCTGCTCGGGGCAACGCCAGGAAGGCGATGAGTACCTCAACGGTGGAGCAGGTGAGCCCCTCGCCCGCGGAGCAGCCGCGGGCGGGCTGTGCAGCAGCCGCGCTGCGCCAGGCTGCAGCAAGCTGCAAGACAGGCCTGGAACTCGCTGCAGTTTTCGCAGTCGTCGTCGACGATCGAGAACGGAGGATCGCAGTTTTCGGGCGTCCTCGGACGGTTTTGGGTGTTCTTCCTTAGTCCAACGGGTTCAGCGAGGGCTCCGGATACAGGAGGAGCTGCACTGCGCTCGAAGGGGGTACGCGGTAGTGTTCGACATGCGCAGTCTGAGGATGGCGGTTACGGTCAGGAGCTTTTGTTTAGCGTGCCGCTGCGCCGGTTTTGGTTCATCACGCTTCGGCACGACACGCTATCCACGTCGCGGTCCAAGGCGTCAACCTCCCGAGCCTTTCCCAACCTCCCGCCCGCTCGCAGGGTATAGCGTGTCGCCAGGGCCGCTGCCACGACACGCTGAGCAAAAGTTCCTGATGGTATCTTGGATTGCCTGATATGATATCCAGGTGGCAAGTGCGAGCGGGCCGACGTGGCGACTCTACCAGTTTCGACGCGGCGACTCTACCAGTTTGTCGCGCGCGCGTTTGAGTCTGGGAGCATAGAGGAAGGTCGCCAGTGCAACAGTCGTGAACATGTTGATGATAATGTGGCGCCGTAGTGTGCTACTCTATTATTGGACGGCGTGGGCCCTGAACTGGGACGCAGCGCTCTGTTTTGCTGGCTCCTGCTCAGCGGCGATCGGTTTCAGGGCGGGCGCCAGCTGCTCTCTCCATCGCGGCGCCAGACAAAAGGCTGGAAACGTTCTGCCCCTGGTTCGGTCTGCCGGCCGCGCCGCCAATTCTCATCTGGGCGATCGCGCTGGACATGTTGGCCCGGCCGGGGCCTGGAGTGGATGGCGGCGCGTGTCGTCTTGCAGATCAATCTCTGCTCGGGGGCGGCCAAGAGGGGGGTGATGACTACGGGGGGGTGGATATCATGGCGGGGGTCATGACATCTCCCCAGATTTCATGGCGCCTCTTCTTATTCCAATGCGTGCGCCCTGCCCCCCCCCTCTGGGCCGCGCACATGCCGCCGGCCATGATCTGCGACCCCCCCAGTCTCTTGGACGCCCCTCTCTTGGTCGCCCCCGATCTGCTCGCGGCCGGCGGAGGCGCTGCTGCTCTCCGGAGCAGACGTAGCCTTCGCTGCCGACCCGCGGGGGGCCGCGCTGCTGCCCGCCGCTGGGCGGCCGCCCGCGGAGTCGGGCAGGCGGCAGATGTTGGACAGACTGATGGCGCAGCTGATTTTGGGGTGCGCAGCCGCGAGTGCGCGAGGAGGAGGAGGAGGAGGAGGAGGGGGGGGGGGGGGAATGAAGTAGGAGGAGGAGGAGGAGGAGGAGGAGGAGGAGGAGGAGGAGGAGGAGGAGGAGGAAGAGGAGGAAGAGCGAAAGACATCGCGACCGCCCTGTCCCTTGACTTCGATCGCAGTGCATGCGAGAGAACACTCGGGAGGGGAAAGTGCACAAAGACGCGATGAACTGTCGCGTCCTAGGGAAATATACGGGGAAATAGAAGACCTGGGTGGGAAGACGGACCTCCCGAGAATGTAAAAGTGTGGGGGATCCTGGGATTTGTGTGTACTTACTCGTGTGTCCCTGGGCCCCTTCCCAAGCACGCAGTTCGTCTCTGCACGCCCTCCGGCTGCAGGCGGTGGGCGGCCCCCCCGGCCGCACGGGGCCGCGGCACTCCAGAAGCCTCGGAGAGGGCCCGTCCGGAGAGAGTGGACGGGCCCGGGCGATCCAGAACAGGGGGCGGCGAGTGGGGTTCCAAGGCGTGACCAGATATAGGGAACGTTCGGGGGTGGACAGAACCCCCAACAGTGACACGTCGATTAGTCCAGAGAGAGTGGACAGGCCCGGGAGATCCAGAACAGGGGGCGGCGAGTGGGGTTCCAAGGCGTGACCAGCTATAGGGAACGTTCGGGGGTGGACAGAACCCCCAACAGTGACGCGTCGATTCGTGAATTGTCCGTTTTCGGGTCTCGAGATGGCGACGTGGCCGTCATTTTCCAGGCTTGCGCCCGCCAGGTTTGGGCCTCAGGTCGTTTGCACTAAACCACGTTTTACTAAAGGGAGGTCTGTCCATCCCCGGAACGTGGTCATTCGTTGAAGCCATTCGACAAGCGCTCCCGTCGAAGTTCGAAGCGCAAAGCGCGCCGTTCAGATCCTCCCTATCGTCTTGTGCGCTGGCTTCGCGAACTCTCGGTCTCGCGACCAGTCCCGAGGAGTTCAGGGCGCTCGGCTTGTAAAGCAAAGCGGAACTGGTCCCCAGCATTGTGGTTTTCAATATTGTATGCTCCAGAGCTTGTTATGCATGTAATGTATTGTACTTTGCCTTGCGTATTTGTTCTGTGGAGAGATCTAGACACGCGCGGGGGTCCGAACCGCACGGCCTGTCCTGCCACTGCCGCTGCTGCGCTTTATATTTTGCTGGTAAGCGGTCTTGAGTCTTCGGGAGACTTGTGATATGATGGGCGTGGTTTCTCGAAAACCTTGTGCAGATCACTGTCTCACGAAGCCAGACGGGACCATCAACTTCGGTTTCGGCCCCCAGAGACGACATGATGGTCCCGTCGTCTTGGGCGCATGACGGCGAAGCCATGACTCACGCTGACAACACTCACGTTGGAACCTTGCCATGTTCGCTCAGGTTCTGCCAGCCGTCTTCCCGACCACCGCCTTGCTCGGAGCCTTGTAAAACTCAGATAAACTGGTGTTCCAGGCAAGGTGCTTTTCAGTATACTGTAGTGTGTTCCAGAGCCCGTTGTACATGTCACAGCGCTTCAGCCTTGCATCCTTGCAAAGAGACTTTGGGCACCCGCGGGGTGCCCACCTGCACGGCCTGACCTGCTGCTGCCGCTGCTGCGTTGGATATTTCTTGCTGTGAGCGGTCTGTACGTCCCGGGAGGAGAATTCGTTTGCACTGCGCTGGCGGAGGTCTCACTACCTCCGGGGTTCTCGCTGCCCTGGTTCTTGAGTGTCCGGGTGTCCGGGAACCCAAGATGGGTCGCGGATACAGTCCTCGCGAGATTGTTAGCTCTTAAGTTTGCAAGATAGCAAAACAACGCCCCCCCGTCCAATATCTTCACAGTGTGTTCCAGGCTCCTACGTAGTAGCCAATTAATGCTTGCATTGTCGAGGCGGGCAGGTGCATTAAGGATACCACCTTGTCAGCACCCCGCAGCTCGACGTAGGAGGAGCGGGGAGGATGACGAGGTGGTAGTTGATGGTGATGGGGGGGTGGAGAAGATGGAGGCAGGAGGTGGAGGAGGGAAAAGGTAGACGAGGAGGTTGTGGAGGAGGGAAGTAAGTAGGTGCAGAAGGCGACGGAGGTCGAGGAGGAGGTGAGAGAGACAGGATTCGCATATTGAACGATTCGTCGTAGCGCACAGCCCAGGGCGAGGCACGTGTAATCACGATCTGTTTAAGCGTGTGGTTTGCGAGAGGTCCCCGTATCGCAGGGCACGGACCAGGACTTGAACTTGAGGAGGTTTGAGGTGGAGACACGGGGGCGAAGCCCTGCATGTTGTGAACATTCCCTTGGCTCTTCGTGCGGGGCGCCTCGGCGAAGGCGCGGGCTCCTGAAGCTTGCTCCCCTCCCCCTTCCCTCGCCTGCCCTGGAAGCTTGCGCCTCCCCCGCCCCTCGGCAGGCACTCCGCAAGGCCGAGGGCTTCTCGCCGCAGCACCTCGCCAACGCGGCATGGGCGCGCCGCCCCCTTCGCGCCTGGCCCTCGACCTGTGGCGCTCCGCGCGGAGCGCCAAAAGTTTATGTTCATGGCGTTTTTACCTAACAGCGAAGACTGATAGGTTTCTAGTGGTCTCAAAAGAGCTCACAGATCACTCCACAGGGGGGTCCGGGCAGGTGTTGGGGAGTTGCCGGGCGGCAGGGTGCCGGGCTCGTTTTTCACCAACAGTCACACACTTCGTGCTCTTCGACTTCCCAGAACTCCATTCCCAGGCCACATTCTGAATACCCGGATGCAACAGTCACACACTTCGTGCTCTTCGAGATCCCAGAACGCCATTCCCGGGCCACATTTAGAATAACCGGATGCAACAGTCACACACTTCGTGCTCTTCGAGTTCCCAGAACGCCATTCCCGGGCCACATTTAGAATAACCGGATGCAACAGTCACACACTTCGTGCTCTTCGAGTTCCCAGAATTCCATTCCCGGGCCACATTTTGGATGCCCGGAGCCAACTGTAGGCCACTTCGTGCTCTTCGAGTTCCCAGAACTCCATTCCCGGGCCACATTTTGAATGCCCGGAGCCAACTGTAGGCCACTTCGTGCTCTTCGAGTTCCCAGAACTCCATTCCCGGGCCACATTTTGAATGCCCGTAGCCAACTGTAGGCAACTTCGTGCTCTTCGACTTCCCAGAACTCCCATTCCTGGGCCACATTTTCAGCAGGGGCAAGAGCACGACGAGGAGGAGGACGAGCAAGACCAGGAGGACGAGGACGAGCAGGAGCAGGACGAGGAGCAGGAGGAGCAGGAGAAGAAGGACGAGCAGGAGGAGGAGGAGGACGAGCAGGAGGAGGAGGACGACCAGGAGGAGGAGGACGACCAGGAAGAGGAGGAGGAGGAGGAGGAGGAGGAGGGGAGGGGGAGGAGTACCAGGAGGAGGAGGAGGAGGAGGAGGAGGAGGAGGAGGAGGAGGAAGAGGAGGAGGAGGAGGAGGAGGACGAGGACGAGGAGGAGGAGGAGGAGGAGGGGGGGGAGAGTACCAGGAGGAGGAGAACGAGGACCACCAGGAGGAGGAGGAGGAGGAGGAGGAGGAGGAGGAGGAGGAGGAGGAGAGAACACCAGGAGGAGGAGGACGAGCAAGACGAGGAGGACGAGAACGAGGACGACCAGGAAGAGGAAGAGGAGGAGGAGGGGAGGGGGAGGACTACCAGGAGGAGGAGGAGAAGGAGGAGGAGGAAGAGGAGGAGGAGGACGAGGAGGCGGAGGAGGAGGAGGAGGACGAGGAGGAGGAGGGGGGGGGAGAGCACCAGGAGGAGGAGAACGAGGACCACCAGGAGGAGGAGGAGGAGGAGGAGGAGGAGGAGGACGAGGAGGAGAGAGCACCAGGAGGAGGAGGACGAGCAAGACGAGGAGGACGAGAACGAGGACGAGCAGGAGGAAGAGGATGAGGAGGAGGAGGAGGAGGAGGAGGAGCAGGAGAAAGAGGAGGAGGACGAGGAGGAGGCAGGCTGAGGCTGAGGCTGTGACTGCGACTGCCGTTGCCGCTGCGACTGTCATCGCGAATGCGACTACGACTGCGAGAACAGCAGAATTCGACAACTGGATTTTCATCTGAATCTTAAGGGGGATGCTTTCAGATATGCTTCTACACATCGCTGTTAGGTTGCTTTGCCGGGATAATTTAATCGGAACGTCTTCGGCTCTTCCAAAATGTTGTTCCCGCTGTAACGCAGGCCTTATTTCTTCCGCTCGGTTCGAATCCTCCCGCGTGCTGTGTTTTCACACAGGATTGGGGGAGTGTGTTGTTCACATCTGTTGTTCAATCCGAACTTGTTCGGATCTTCCGACACGCTGCTCCCGTGGCAGCGTTGGCTTCATTTTCAAGCTCCAACCGCCGTCCGCGAGGACGACAGTTGGGCCGTCCTCAGCTTGTTTCTTTAGTCGGGGACGAAACAACTTCCTGGATCTGCGCTGGGATTCCCTAGCGGCGCTTCCGGCGCCCCCTCTCCGCAATCCTCCTCTCGCGGCCGCGGGTGATCAAACGAACGCAGGAGGACGAATGGAAAACCAGTTTCCGCCAGGCGGAACAATAAAACGCCAGGGGGGCAGACGATTAATAAGCAGTTTCCGACGGCTGAATTCTTTTAGTCTGCCCACTTTATTCGTTTTGGGCCCCCCGGGACGGGGGGTGGGGGTGGGGCCTTTCCTTCATCGTCTGCCCCCACTGCTTCTTCTGTTCGACAGGTAAGACCCCCTTGGTTCTCGCCGCTAAGGATCAGGTGTTGCGAGCCCGTGGCCCAAGGTGCCCCCAGCTTTCCGCTCCATTTGGGAGCCCCTGGGGCCCTCTGGGCCTCGTGAGGGGTGCCTTGGAGGCCGTCTGGGCCACCCCGAGAATCCCAAGGATACCTTGGGCCGGGAGTATTTCTAGCAGAGACTCCCCCCGCCCCCCCCCTGCCTCCTTGGCAGGGCGCCCCCGCTCGCGCCGACCCCCGTTCCCAGACCTCCGATGGTTCGCTCCGCTGCGCTGCGCGGCCCCCGAAGGTCCCACCCCTTGCGAAGATTCCTCCTTGGAGGAGGAGGAGGAGGAGGAGGAGGAGGAGGAGGAGGAGGGGAGAGGAGGAGGAGGAGGAGGGGAAGAGGGGGAGGAGGAGGAGGGCGAGGAGGAGGAGGAGGAGGAGGAGGAGGAGGAGGAGGAGGAGGAGGGAGGAGGAGGAGGGAGGAGGAGGAGGAGGAGGAGGGGAGGCGGGAGGAGGAGGAGGAGGTGGGAGGAGGAGGAGGAGTGGAGGAGATGGAGGAGGAGGAGGAGGTGGGGGAGGGGCGAGGAGGAGAGAGGGGCAGGAGGAGGAGGAGGTGGAGGAGGAGGGAGGAGGAGGAGGAGTGGAGGAGGAGGAGGAGGAGGGGAGGAGGTGGAGGAGGATGGGGGAGGAGGAGGAGGAGGAGGAGGAGGAGGAGGAGGAGGAGGGAGATGGAGGAGGAGGAGAGGTAGGAGTGAGGAGGGGGAGGTAGGAGGGAGAGGAGGAGGAGGTAGGAGGAGGAGGAGGAGGAGGAGGAGGAGGAGGAGGAGGAGGGGGAGGGGGTGGAGGGGGATGGGGATGGGGGAGGGGGGAGGGGGATGGGGGAGGCGGAGGGGGTGGGGTGGAGGGGGAGGGGGCGGGAGGTTCTGGAGGGAGGGAGAGGAGGAGAGGAGGGAGAGGAGGGGGGAGGAGGGGAGAGGAGGAGTGGAGGGTGAGGTGGGACGAGGAGGGAGAGGAGGGAAGAGGAGGGAGAGGAGGGGGGAGGAGGGGACTGGGAGGAGGAGGAGGGAGGAGGAGGAGGAGGAGGAGGGAGGAGGGGTAGGCCAAGTCGCTTGCTGCCGTCGGGGGGCGCCCGCTGTGCACTCGCACCGACTCCCTTGCTGGGCCGATCCTGGGCACGCGATCGGTGCATACGCCTCTCTTGGAGGCCTCTTGGGGGCTTTTTGGGGCCCCTTGGGGGCCTCTTGGGGGCCTCTTGGGGCCTCTTGGGGGCGTCTTTGGCCGTATTGGGGTGATTTTGCGCCGTTTCGCCCCTTCGGAGGCCGTCTTGTGGGCCTCTCGCGGCCGCCTTGGGGCCGTCTTGGGGTCCTCTTGGGCCGTCATAGGGGCCTCTTGGACCGTCTTGGGGGCCTCATTGGGCCGTCTTGAAGTTCTGTTGGGCCGTATTGGGGCCCTCTTGGGGGCTTCTTGGGTTTTTGTGGAGCGTTTTAGGAAGCTGCTTGGGCCGCCAAGGCGAGAACGCCAAAAGATTACCAACCCATAGAGAAATCAATGATTTTGGCTTCTGGAGGCGCAATTGTGGGCGCTCTTGGGGCCCTCTGGGGCTGTCATTGGGGCTTTTTGTGCCCTCTTGGGGCCATCTTGGACCGTCTCGGGGCCGTCTTGGCCCGCACAGAGCCCATCTTGAGCCGTCTTGACGCCCTCTTGGCCCCCCAAGAGACCCAAGAGGTCGAAATCATTGATTTTCTATATAGGTTTTGGTAGGTTTTTGAACCCCAGGAGGGGGGGGGGGGCACTTTGGTCCGTTCCTGTGGCGCAGCTCCCAGGAGGGGTTAGGGGGGAGACATAATAATGTAACATGATACAGTATGTGGGAATTATGCAAACATTGGACACACTGGATCCACTGCGTTACAGCATCCGCGGAAAACGCTGCCGCTCAGCACGTCACTTCCGGACGTGGACTCTTGGGCTTGCGCCACACCGCCGACCCTTTGGGGAGCTGGCGGCTGTGGCGTGTTGCTCCTGAGGGCCCCCGGGGCGCCTTTCCGGAGGCAAAAGCAGAGGAGAAGGAAAGAAGAGGCGAGAGGAACAATTGATTAGTATCTTTATTCATTGTTGTCTTATATTCTTCTTATTCATATTATTGCAAGAGTAGTACGATAGAATGTTATTGTTGTTTCGGTTGTAATTGTTGTTTCGGTTGTTGTTGTTGCGATTATTATTGTTTCTGTTGTGCTCCTCGGTGGCCTTCCTGGGCGCTTCCCGGGGGGCCCACGGGCGGCCTCTTGTCTTGGGGCTTCGTGGAGGCCTTTTGGGGGGCCGAGGGCTCGAAGTGTGGGCTCGGGCGCAGGCACCTCGTCGGAGATTCCGTTGTCGTCGTCGTCGTCGTCGTCGTCGTCGACGCGACGACGACGACGACGACGACGACGACGACGACGACGACGACGACACCGATCCCGTGCCCAGGGCGGAGAACTGCATAGATCAGTATCGTTTCGCCGACTCTTTATCCCCAGGCCCCCTCGAGTCATGAAAACATCACGACGCGAGGTTTTGTTCGCTATTTTCGGCCTCTGGGGGCCCTGACCAGGCCGCGGGATTGTCAAAAAAACGACTCAGGATGAAACACGGGTCCCGGGGAATGGGTCGAGACCTTTGGGGGTCGACGCCTTGAATAAAGATCATGACGTCGGGGTTCTGGGTCCCCATCCCCATTCCCAGTTGGGGATGTACCCTTGAAGCCCGAAGGAAACAGCCCATATCCCCATCCAGGGGGGC